CACCACCAGCACCAGCACCAGCACCAGCACCAGCACCAGCAGCAGCAGCAGCAGCAGCAGCAGCAGCAGGAGCAGCAGCAGCAGCAGCAGCACCAGCACCAGCACCAGCACCAGCACCAGCACCACCACCACCACCACCACAACAACAACAACAACAACAACACAAAAGAACTGCCTGGTGGTCCACCACGGAGGGGGTTGTTCTATGGATGCATGCATCCAAACACCGGGCATGTCGACATCTCTCCTTCACACGACCTCCACGACGCGCAAACCAACCGCGCCGTGCACGAGAAAGAGCGCGCGCCCGCCTTGCTCACGCAAATGTCCACCGAGGTCGTACTCATTGAGGTTCGCCTAGGGAGGTTGAGTGTCCGGAGCCGGCAGGCTCGAGGCGCAGCAAGCCGCTCGAGAGGTTGGTCGCCTTTTTCCGAATCGGGACTGGATGTACGCTGCACATAGAGATATAGGTATACCCCAGAAGTCCAAAGACTATACTTTCCCTTAGTGATTCCCTTTGCAGATCCCCTACAAACATCTAAAGACCCATTGTTTGCGTAGTCTTTGACTTGCAGGGTAGAGAAACATAGATGTGTCGATCAGTGCGCGTCCCCCAATAGCCTTCCAACTGATCGGCCGTCTGGAGCGTCCGCAGGCCGTCCAAGAGAGGTTAAGTGACCGTAAATAGGACCCTACTGGAGTACCTATGGGATACAGTCGTCTATATAGGGTCCTTCAACCTGCGTTTGTTCCTCCAAGATATAATGGTCTGGTTTACCGACTGTTACAGGTTTCCTATGGTTTCCTACGACCCCCCCCCAAGACAAAGCAAGCTAAGTGCACGGGAATGCATCGGAAAGCGTCCTCCACGGGAGTTATACTGGGTTGAGAGTAGATGGCGCAATCCCCAAAAGGTGGTTTATATGGACCCCTATATCCAAGACATCTTGGGGGTTGTGCCATCTACTCTCAATCCACTGTATATATCTGACCGCGTGATCTGTTTATGTTTTGTCCCACAAGCCGATTTGGGGGAGTGGTGCTGGTCCAGGCCATTTTTGCCTATCCAAAAGAGCTCTGGATCAAAAAGCAGGGGACCCAACGGATTTGGAGAGAGTAGTTGTTGAATCAAAGAGTGGTTTTTCCTGTAGATGGTTCTCCAAAAGAAATCCTCTGATTGGTGGTGAGTTTCAAAACGTTGACCTCATGTCTTAAATATCCAGGTACTCAAGCCAGTCGCGGTGTTGGGTCACCTTTGGTGTCTGCATCAATCCCAGGTTCTCAGACCCACAAGATGACTGCCGGGTCACTTGTCTCCACGGAGGTGTGCCTGCCGGTCATGGGGAGGGAAGGCCACCTCCAAGGGACTGAGCGATAAGAACCTCGGCGTCCACCCACGGTTGACCGGGTTCGGCGAAGCGAATCGCTGTCCACATGGGTTTACCCTAGCCTTCAGTTCGACCATTAAAAGAACGGTTGAGCTGGTGGTGTAGTGTAAAAATCCTTAGTAAAACAATAGTTCCTTGATGTTCTTTGGTAAAGACCATCAGAACAATGGTTGTTTGAATCCTGGGTTGAGGGTTTAGGGTGCAAACGGCGCTGGCTTTCGGACTGGGCTGTTCGATGCCTTGGGGGGAAACCCAGTTCCGCGAGGCGTCCAGGGCGGCTGCCCAGGAGAGGTCCAGAGTCCCATCCCCAAGTCCCACGACTGCCTGTCTGCTAAGGGTTTCACATGGGGTTCACCTTTTAAAGGGGTTCGATCAAAAAATGGCTCCCATAATGAACCAAAGGGGCGATTCAGGTCTGTAGGAGTATACCTAAGCCCATGGAAGTCAAACAACTATCTTTCAACTGGTTTGACCGGGTGACCCCGAAGTTCGGACTGTCCTTTCATTGGGTGGTGCCCCAAAATAGGTCGAACTGGACTCCACTCGAATCCGGGATCACGGTAGGGGCGCCCACTCAGATCCCATCTTCCCATCTGGATCAGGTCACGTAGGGTCCGGCACCCACCAATAGAACCTGGGCCGCGGGCCGCGGCTGCCGCGGCCAGCATCAGTGAGAAACCACAGTCCCGGCATCCGTGGCCAAAACTGGGGAAAATGATTTTTTTTGGATGTGATATTATGTCTATAGTGTTGTATTCATATTATGGATATTGCTATTCTTAGAATGATATATTATATATAATGCACAGTATGTGTTTCCTGCCCGTTTGCTTTTTCCAAACAAAATGACACAGGGTGGACAAAATGTCCGTCTCCATGGAAACAGTTCTCCATTATGCTACTGACAAGGAGTTTGTTCATCCTCTACCATCCTCTGGTCATCCAGGGTTTGGGATTGCAACCAAGGAGAAGTGAATAATAGTGAACATAAACTACTGAATGTTCGTGAGATATCGTGAGTCTCAGGGATCAGTTGCGCAAGCAAAATCAAGTGGATGAACCATTTCCCTTACAAGGACCTCCAACCCCCGTGCTTGTGGTTTACGTTTAGGACTGTATAACCCTGAGATAAAAAAACGCTTGAAACATTTGGACCAAGGACGGTGAAATGGACATGGTCTCACCGAAACACCATGAACGAACTCATTCGACGATGGTCTCACATGGTGTACCTTCGATCCTGTGGCTAACTGTTCTTTGCTTCGAACCACCGAAGTGCCACTGGGGACCGAATCGTGACTCGAGTCCTCAGAAGTGCCGGTCCAGTGGCATCATGTCGTGCTGAAGTGGCAGATTCGTGAACCACTTCCAGTTCAAAGCTGTAGCGCAGGCCTTGGCATCCAGCACAGTTTCTGTGAAGGAATTTGTTGGGGGGGTCCAAAAACAGGTTGAAACAGTCGATTCAGGAATGAAGGCTTTGAGGGTCCAAATGCCTTCTGACATCTTCTGACAAGGTATTGGGACGCCTATAGGGATTCGGATGGATTTGGATATGTTTGGATTCAGCTGTTGCATTGCCGGTGGATGGAGGGTCCAAAACCTGTCAGATCCTGTCAGTGTGATGTAGCTACCGGACGTGCTACGAAAAGCCCTGTTGCTTCGTAAGCGACGAACCGGTCACAATAGAAAGGTTGTTTAGGAAGGTCATGTCAGCCATGCAACTTGAAAGGTTTCATCTGACTTACAAGCCGTAATGCATCATCATAATGCTATTTTGTGGTGTCAGCAGTTTGTACGGCATTGATTTGGCATCCAAAATATGGATATGCATACGTGTCAACATGTGCAATGCCTTAGGTCCTAAAGGTCTCATCTGTCAGCAGCGGTGCCCATCCTTTGCTCCAGGCAGCCATGGGCATATTCCATGCGGTGGCCTTCTGCATGGAGTTCTCCAGGTCCCAGCCATTGCCACCAGTGAGAAACACGAAGCAGCCCGAAGAGTTGCCACGACAGGAGGGCGCATACCTGAGGGCTGAGGGATCACGCCAGAGCCAGGCACCGTGCTCGTCTCTGCGTCTGGACTCCCCTCTCTTTGGGGACCTGGTGGGGACTTGGAGCAGAAAGACCTTCTCCCTAAAGGTCTGGACGTAGAGAAGCCAAAACGGATTTTGCTGTCGACCCGTGAAACAACCAAGAATTCGCCCAATTCGCATGGGAAATCACCCACAAGGAGAAGCAATCACACCAAGCAAAACCATGTATAAGACTATGTGTAAGCGATAGCTCCAACTGATTCTGGTTATGATATTGGTTTAGTGATTTCTTGGTATTGTTTCCAAAGCTCCTTCTTTGCTGTTCGAGGGCTTTGATTGATCCAAAATGTGTGATGTCCAGGTCGACAACAGCTTTTCCCCAAAGTCACGCAAAGTGATGAGGGGCAAATGATTCATCATGATTCATCCTCTCCACGTGCCTCACATTGCCGCATTCCCCCTTCCAAAGCCAATTCTTTCCGCATCCCAAATGCGGAAGAACAACAACAAGCTCAGTTCAGCAGCCATCTTGACGGCTTGGATCTGATTTGGATCCAGATCTGGATCCAAATCTGGTCATTCCAAGGTGCCAGAATTTCCCCTCCCAACACTTCGCTGTGACGACGCCATCGTTCACGTCCACGCCGTCCCAATCACCGGTCAACTCGGCGTAGAATTGCATGACCTCGCAGCGTTCGGCGAGGTTCGGGACTGCGAGATTCACATCTTCCAAGGGGGACCAGTAGTGCATTCCAGACCCAGACACTCCATGCATGCCGTATATGCCTACATTGGGGTGGTTTTGGGGGTCAATGTAGGCATATATGCCATACATGGAGTGTATGGGAGAGGTTGAAGGACCCGCAGTTCGACTATCCCAGGCCAGGGTACCCCAGGTTGTCCTAGTGAACTAGGCCACTGGCTACCTGTCTTGATCCACCCAGAAAGACCACGGTCCACGCAACATCACCCAAATGAAGCCCGACACCTCGGAACAAGCCGAGGTAGCGCCACGCCCGCCGTGTGCGGGACCGAGCGGACACGGAGGTGCAAGACACGGAGGTGCGTTGAAACACTCCAAGAGAGGTAGGTTAAGTGACCAAAGTACTACCCGGAAAACCTGGGGTACCCTGGCCTAGGCTAGTCTAATAGGGTCCTTCAACCGCTGGCTCCTCCACATTCGGCGCAGTTTCAAGGATGTGAGGAAGGCGAAACCCGCCAGGCGCCCTGGCTTCGCACACGTATCTTGGAGCTTCTATCGACCTTCTGTCGGAGCTTTAAGCTGGCGTGGAGCTTCAGAAGCCCTAGAAGCAAATCCAGCAAAGGTTGAAGAACCCTATAGACTATCTATATAGGTACTGGTGACGGGTCCTAGTTCAGGTCACTGGCTACCTCTGTAGGATCGTTCCCATGGTCTATAAAGATGATCGGCTGGACTTCCAGCGGAAAAACGACACGACTCGTCCTGTTAAGATGTTCTGAGGTTTTTGTCCAAGTGAAGCTGAAAAAAAACACCTGGAAGTGGCCATACCAAGAGAGGTTGCCCTTTTTGGCCCATCCCATGGCACCACTGGGTCCTATAATACAAGGTCTCTCCACTTCTCTTTCTTGGTGCAGCCACTTCACAAACATTATACCCATTCTAGTTGGACTATATTTCGCACCACGATGCACCACTTAAGTAAAGCACATTCCGAACGTTGGATCACCTAATGACATCTATCTAATGACCATTTTCAGAAGAGTCCTTGGACTTCCAGGGGTGTAACTAGCCGTATCGTCTCATCCCTAGGGTTTTTTCTAGGGGAAGCCTCAGGATAAGATTCATGGGACCCATCCAGTTGCAATGAGCGGGGCTCGCCGCGGCATCGGGTGGTCCAAGTGACCCTGCTGATCCACAAGCGCGTCACATTGCCTCAGGTGCAAACGAACGATGGCTGGTCAGACCCTGTCTCAGTCCGTCCAGCTCGATGCTTTTGGGAACGCATGGTCGGAGGCTCAGTGATCCCAAGCTTTGGAAGTTCCGCCAGAACCTTCGAAGGTGCCAGAAGCGGATTCCTGGCCCACCATTCCCAAACACTCCATGGGACTGCCATATATGCCTACATTGGTGTGGTTTTGGGGGTCAATGTAGGCAAATATGGCATACATGGAGTGTCTGGGATTGATTTCATAGGCGTCCCGAACCACCGAGCTGTTTTACTAAGGGTTTTACACTACACAACCAGGTCAACCGAACTCTTTTCATGGTCTTGGAAGCCTAAGGAGAATATACCCTCCCAACAAACATGCAAGTGGATTCTCCGTGTTGGAAGGGTCTTCGGACAAAATCGTCTTCCAAGGCGGCCATGCCATCCAAGGCGGCCATGCCAACTGGACTTCGGAAAACAGGACCGAGAAACAGTCCAACACCGAGAAAACACGAAGGTCACTAAACAGGTTCCGGGTAGAGACGAACTTGATCAAATGAACCTTGCAATTGGGGTTGCCTCCCCCAAAAAAATAGAGGGCTTTGGGAGAGCCCAACATCTGTTCTATCATGTTCTGTCTAAAATCGGCTTTGCTGCAAAATCACCCGAGGCTTCCCCCGTTGGTGGTTTTGGGGGTCAATGTAGGCATATATGGCAGTCCCATGGAGTGTCTGGGATTGGAACCATGTCTTCCGCCATAAATTTGCTTCGACTCATGGTGTGCGGACCTTCTTTTCCGTGGAATTGCGGGATCTCTTTTTCCCAGGCAGGGGGGGTACAGGGAGTCAAACACATGGGAAAGTAAAAACACCTTAAAACACACACCAGGTCATCCTCTTCCACCTCTCTCTCTCTCTGGTCTTTCTCCGAGTCGCATGGCAAAAGGAGGGAGTTGTTCACCACGCTAGGTGGGTCGAAGTACTTGGCTGCCAAGTGCCAGGAGATGTTGTAGCCGCGGAAGAAATCCTCAGCGGATCACCCCCCCCTTTCTCCCGGTGACGTATCACTCTGCACGTCTCACGTCAACCAAAAAACCGGGACGAGAGCGACACGAGGCGACGGGCATGTCTAGCAAGATGCAGAACTCTTGCTGGTGGTTTGGAAGGAGCTAAGGAGTGGGAGCTTTCTATAACCAACAGAGGTTGAAGAACCCTATAGACTATCCCAGTTGGGTACCCCAGGTGACGGGTCCTAGTTCAGGTCACTGGACTGGTCACTGAACCTCTCTTGGAATGTCCTTTTAAGTTCCAAGTTCGGGTGATGGTGAGAAAATCAACACAAAATACCTATCCTGGCTTTGGCGCAGTCACCTCTTGTCCTCAATGTTGTTAATTATAGTTTGTGCCCCACCCAAATTCCACGATTTGCGATGCAAGAGAGTGTCCTCAAGTGGGGGGGGAAAGAAATGGAAAGAACATATTTCTCAATGCTCACCTTCTGCTGGTAGAGTCTGGTAGAGTATAGCCCCATTGATGACTTCAGTCTGTGTTGCCCGACTCCTGCAGAAAAAATAGGTCAATCTTCTTCGCTTTCGGACATAGAAATCCCAACCACAGTCCCAGCCGAGATGAATCGACCAAAAAACCAGCATCAGAGAGTATTCTCATTGAAAGGAAGTCAATTAGAAGCACAAGGATCGGGTCAAGTAGCCTCAATCCTCCCAGCATTTGGCTTATCAAATCGGACAACATCAGTAACTATAAGGGATGTAGTTCATGTCGATTCGGGCTTGCCAGTCCATGGCATCGTCCAAAGAATCAATTCAGCCCGTTAAAGTGAGCCTACAGTCCCAAATCCATCACCAGCATCTAGTAAATCTAGTAAGGCCATGCGACCTTGAGGCTTCAGCCAGGCTCCGAATAGGATGCTCGGTACTCAAATCGGATTCCACCGGGTGGTGTTCTTTGTTCACGTGTGTTGTTGCCTCATTTGTTTCCTCCGTGAGGCTCCAGACCCCCAGGCCCCCAGGCCACCAGAACACATCGACGAACGGAAACCCTCTTCGATCCCAGGCCTTTTGGAATGGAGCTCATCAGTGGCATGGGTCATGGGCAAAGTCGTTTGGAAGGTCATGTGTCCAAAACCACCTTGCACAGTTGCCCCATTTATAGCCCCAATGAGCCCTTATGAATCTGTAATCTTTAATTAAGTAACGATTCCATACGGTCTGGGTGTCTTGATCTTCGGTCATTTCAGCTCCAAACCAGCTCCGGCAAGCAACGGAAAGCGATTAACGATCGAGACATTCCATTGCACCTTTTGGAATGGAAATCCTCTTGTAGGAATGTCCGACGGTATCCCAATAACACTGTCACAATGAATATAATGCAGTTCACGCTCCAAGCAACATCTCTTGCACCACTATAGTTACAACAAGCAGGAACCTGCAATTCTGCAAAAGATCACACCAAAAATCTATAAAAATCCAATTGCACCAACAGAGGTAAAGTGACCTTATAAGACCCCACCAGGGTACTAGACTGGGATAGCCTAGTTCGGGTTCTGACCCACCTCTGTTGGCAGTTAGCGCCCCAAACCTCCCAGACGGTCCGTCCAAGGTGCCAAGTTCAAACCTTCTGACTCCCACGCTGCTTCCTTGACTCCTCGTCCGATATAGAAGGACACTTTTCCATCATAACCTCAACGTCTGTCACTGTCACTGGGGAAAGCTTTATATACCAGCACCCTCAGGGCGGGAGGATCCTGGTAGAAAACGGTTCCCAAACTCTCCACCCCAAAGTGTCAATGGTCGGTTTTCCACGAATCCATGAGAATTCCCAGAAAACCCACCGAGTCGAGTCTCCTTTTTCCGGCCGCCCGGAGTGGGCGTGGGGCTTGATTCTGGCCTGGTCCCCACATGGGCGCGCCGCGACGCGCACATGGTTTGGTTCCGCCCACAGGCAAACAGCGAGGTCTGGGGCGTGGAGAGGTCTGGGTGTGGCAGAGTTGCGTGGTCCCACACGCATGGGACCTGGACACAACACGGTGAACATGGGACCTGAGTATGTTGCACCCTCGAAGCTGGCACGCGAGCGAAACCAGCAGCACTTGGAGGAACCACATGTTCACGTGCAGGATCCAAAGTGTGCAAATTACTTACCAAACAGCTGTTTCAACGATCATTATTGCTTTGGAGAGAGAGTTTGCATTTGTTTGCTCGGAACAACTTGAAGGTCGGGCCGGTACTAGCACCTGGTACCAGCACCGGTCAGCACCTAAGCTTGAAACAGTCAGTCGACCTGTTGTGTTGGGTCCAGTTTTCTGTTCTCTGGACCTGCCAGATCTTGACAGACCATCCACCATCCACCAACCGGACAGCTACCCGGTCTGAAACGAATGCGGCATTTGGTGGCTCTGAAAAACCGTTTGGAAGAACCACGCTTCGGGTGTGTCCCTGCGCCCCAGCGTCACGTGTGTTCCCAGAATTGGTTTCAGGGAAAATCTGCCTCAGCCAAGAGCGGTTAAGTGACCTTATAGGACCCTACTGGGGTACCTATGGGATAGCCTATAGGGTCCTTCAACCTCTGTTGGAGAGTCTTTGGGGGACGAAACATCTCCGGTTTCCTGTCGATGAGAACCCCGTACGAACCGCCGTTACGGGAAGTTGGCGCCCATACGGCGGCCTACGGCCGTGGCGCCCATATTGCCGACGTTCACGGGGGCGGTGGCTGGGTAATCGGTTTGAATCTGTTCCCAGGTCGCGGCCTCAGCAGTGGGCCAGGTCCACGCAAATGTACGATTGGGTGTGAAAGGAAAGCCCTAGCCGCCCTAGCCTAGCCTTCAATGACCATTAACGCTATAAGGAAAGGTTGACCTAGTCTTAGCTGTCTAAAACTCCTGAGTAAAACTAAGGGCTCTAAGGGTTGTTTGGTGAAAAAAAAATGGAATCCCATCGGTGAGGTTGCACCAAGTTTGGGTCGACGACACTCGAACTGCAGGGCCGTAGCTTGACCGGTGTCAAGCCACCGATGACAGTTCAGCCCCCTCGGGGAATCTCTTTCTACGAGCTCCTCCCGGCGTAGGTTTCACCCAGCTGCTTCCAACGGGTCACCCATGGACATCCTACACTAATTACTTATAGGTCTCCATTGGACACCCATTGGAAGCGCTAGGTCGGTTACTAGGTCGGTTTTGAACATGGTTCACGCATCCCCCTTACTCAATCCATGGTGCTGCCATTTGAAAAGGATTATGAAACGAGGGTCGGTTTGGTCATTTGGTACTGGAAAAGGATTGCGGCACGGATCATCATTCATAAGGCAACAAGTAAGGGCCTAAGAGGGATGTTAAAGCTGTTTTTTTTGTAGCCCCACCCCCCTGGATCAAATGGACACTTGGAAGGTGATGTTCCCCTACCGACCAGTTTTAGGGGACATAAGAAGGCTGCCACCCGCTGGACATAAGGATTTAGAGCTTATAGCGGGTGCGTGGGCCTCTTTGTCTGTTGGCCGCTGGGATCTATTTAAATTTGGATCTATATAAAAAAAATGCTTCTATCATCTTCTATCTATATTTGAATCATCTTGGATCCACTATGATCCACTTACAACTCCCTATAATATAATATATATATATATATTAATCTGAGCTGTGTGCTCATGCCTTGCCGGTCCTGCAGTCAAACAATGTCAAACACACAATTGGTAAGTTTTCCTCCTCTGCGATCTCTTCTCAAACCCAACATAATCGATGACTCAGTTGATCCGCATCTGGTCGTCATGATCGACCACTTCCAGAAAACCATGCAACACAAAGCATATTTTTTGGACTGACTTCCACTGCAACTGTGCATGTTTTACATTGTTTTACTGTGTTTTTGGATGATTGGGTGTCGCTTCAGGGACTGAACATGAAGAGAAGAATGAACAGCTTCTTCGAAAGCACTCTCTGACACCCCCGGCTCCTTTCGTTGGAAAGTCGTCTTCCTTTCGAGGACCATGCCATCTTCTTATTCGTAAGCCGAGTGCGAAGAAAAACAGAACATCTGTCCTCTACTTCAGGCCTTGCCGAGATTTTGGGAACATGCCAACCCCAGACACTCCATGTATGCCATATTTGCCTACATTGACCCCAAAAACCACACCAATGTAGGCATATATGGCCTCCCGCGAACCCTGAACTGCAGCCGTTGCACGTAGCCCTCAGTCCACGCTTCCAAGGAAACATGGCCTCAGATCCATTGGGTCGGGACATTTCGCGAAATCATGGATGACGGGAACCGGGTGCTCCGGGCCCCAAATCCATTATAGAAATCCTGAGAATTAGAGGAGGAATTTCAGTATAAACTTAGGCTAGCTCATGATTGAATTCTTGGAGGACTTTGCAGTCTTCTAGTCCTGGCAGCGCACCCACGAGCCCACATTCGACAACAAAAAAAAACAAAAAACTCCACCAAAAAGCCATGGAGTAAGCTTACCATCCTGCTTGCAACCGACATGTTGCCACATGTTGCCACGTGTCGACACGACCAACATGTTGGGGTCAATTCCTCCTGAAATCCGGACGACGAATGGACTCATGGATCGAGAGGAACCATCGGAAGCCACTGCCAGTTCCCAAACGCGACCTGTTTGGGACTGCCATAGGGCTGCCGATCAGTTGGGGTGCCAACAGAGGTAGCCAGTGACCTGAACTAGGACCCGGAAAACCTGGGGTACCCAACTGGGATAGTCGATAGGGTGCTTCAACCTCTGTTTGTGGTGCCGGGGGGGGTCTGTCTGGATCGGCATCGCAGTCCCATGGAGCGTCTGAGAGTCCATTCCCCCGATGTTCGGCTGGCCATTTGCGGCACCCTTCGAAGACCATCTAGACAAGATGGGACAACCGGTCATTAGCTCAAATGCTCAATTGCTGGTTCGAGTAACTATGCTTTTCAGTCTTCTTGTGCCACAAACATCTCGCTCAAATTGACTATGTATCTTCACCACCGAGTTTCAGATTGAAGGGGTCACCCAAACTCAGACGTATCCTTGCGATCCTTGTCCACTTCTACCCACCATAGCACCGCACCAAAAGGGCCAAAACGCCAAGAAAGTGGAGTTGGACGAAGGTTTTGGGAGTTGAAGAATGCTGGAAGAACTCCCCGTAGCTCCTCTTGGGCTCCAGAAGCTCCTCGGCCCAGTCCAAACACGGCTCCCCCCCCCCAGCCGGCCAGACCGGCCAAACGCGCCCCTGGAGGGTTCGGCCGGGTTCGGCCGAAGGAACTGTAGGTGACAGCGGGACCGTCACCGCATCCTCGATTGCCAATGATGGTCGGCGTGAGACAGCCCGCCACGGCAAAGTAAGCATCCACGGTGGCGGCGCCCGTCAACCGCTCGGTGACGTTGTAACCTGAAGAGGGATGGTTACAACGGGTCGTAGGCTCGGACGGTTTGGGAGGTGAGAACGAGATGGAAGGGAATAAGACGAAGATAAACATAGGTGTTGGAGGGTGTTTGATTTGGGGAGGAAGATCTGTATAGATTGCTTTCTTCAGGCTTTCAGCTAGATTCTTTTATGAAAAACAGCTTGGAATGAGCTAGGATACATCGAGTGTCTCTTGGACCTTCAAACTGCCCGGGGAAACATTAAAACCTCAGCTGCGCGAAGCAACACACCCCCGGCCGCTGCGCGCTGTGCGGTGCAGGATGGTGGCTGGTGGAAGCAGTCACCAGTCGTTGAGGCTTGGATTTGGGGATTTGGAAGTTCCGGATCAAGGACCTTAACAAAAAAGCAACTTCAAGACCACCAACAGAGGTTGAAGGACCCCATAGACTATCCCAGTTGGGTACCCCAGGTTTTCCGGGTTCTATTTACGGTCACTGGCTACTTCTCTTGGCACCTCCCAGTCTACGGGGATTCATATATGGATTCATGCCGTCTCAACTGCATCTCACGAGCTGAGGTGACCCTAGAAGTCGTGGTCCACCAGGTCAACCAGGTCAACCGCGGGAGCCTCCTATATACCCTATATTCACTAAGGGCTTTACCAATATACCAGGTGACCACCATTGTCCAAATGGTCGACTGGACTTCCAGGGGTGATCGGAAACCCCAAACTAAACACCTCGCCGGACCGTATCGATCTCGTCGACCTCGAGGCGAGGCGGGTTTTGGGGTCGCGGTGTTTGGTGTGTTTTTTGTTTGATTTAGACCCTGGAAGATTAACATGCTGAAGAAGGACCGCAAAGGCTTTAGGACCGCACAAGAGGGCCCCTCACTCTTCCGGGGTTTGGTCGGCTTGGTCTTTGTGATTACGCCCTGGAAGATTAACATAGCACCTGAAAACAACTGGGTTGTAGAGGAAAATAGTCTTCCAATCTGGTCCATTTTCAGGTTCCATGTGTGTCTCTTCCCGGGAGTAATCCTTTCCAATCCCCGCCCCCGTTCAACATGATCCACTGACTGGAACCACTTTTCTCCATCTGAACAACTGCCAAGACCTTGCAAGATCTTGCAAGTAAACAACTTTTAAAACATAGAACGCATCTGGGATGCTGTTCCCCGTTGTACTCACCTTGCCCTGCTTCCAAAAAGCTTACAAACCCATGGAAGAAGTTGATACCGTCCATACCTACTGGTGGCCATTTCTCTTGGGATTCTTTTTGGGTGATTTGGAGCAGTAGGCACATATATATATATATATATTCCAAACATGGAGCACCCAAACCCTTTGGGAGTCCCCTCTCACCCTTTGCCCGCTTCTTGATCTTGCCCAATGGCCCAGCTTCTCTTCGAGAAGGATCTTTGCCACGGCGGAAGATGCATAGGAGGCTGCCCAGTCATTCAAGTGCATGCCCAGGGGATAGGTCTCCCCAAGTTTCACATTGACCTGAGAGCCCAAATCAGGCATAAGGGATCAATCTCCCCAGGTTTCACCTTGACCTTGGCTGGCCCAAAATCAGGCATGGGCAGGTGCACCATTCCCCGAGCTGCTCGCAAACATGTTCGATCAGCAGGAGGTCAGGAGGTCGGGACCCTGGAAGCTCAGGTCTGAGTTGATACACCAGTTCCAAGCGCAAGCAAATGATCAAATCAGGCTTGGTGCATGCTTGTATACTAACTGGTATGCCATAATGAACTCCGACACTTCTTGGGAGAATCCGGAAGACAGTTTCTCCAACCGCCTCTTGGTTTTCAAGGGGCTGGACCAGATTCTGCAGGAACCCCCCCCCATTCCGAGCGGCCAAATTCTTGCGTCGTTCCGGCGGAATGCCATCTGCCAGGCATGTGGAACCCACTGCAACTCGGAAAGCAGCTGAGATAAGCAAGACAATGGGCCACTGGCGCATCATGCCTTAGCACCAAGGGCTACTCTGCTCAAAAAAACACTTGAAGCATTTTAAAGCTAAGGGCACGTGGCTTTAAGAAATTAAAGAAAATTAGAGTCCTGTCAAGCATTAAATGACAAACACTTGCCAAGTGGTTCACATACACCACCCATCGACATATAGAGTCGCACATGCAAAGCAAAGTACTATAGGGACCCTGCAAGGAAGTCCTTGCTATCAACTAAAGCTTTCTTTCTATGCTTTCGGTGCATGCTTTCGGTGCTCAAATTGCGCCGAAGGCCATCGGTGCCTTTGCAGCATGGTACGCACATGTGCGCGGAACAAACCAACTGCCAGTGTGCCAGGTGGGAGGGGAGGAGGAGCACAAGTCGTCACCTCTTGGGACGATCGGGTGAACCTCCCAACAGTTCGGTGGGAGGTTAACCCGACTGCTCGGCTATCCCAGTTGACCCTTGGCATACATAAAATGTAGACTCTTGATTATTATTAACCCCCCACGTTTGAATAACCTCTTCACATATTTATTAATATATATATATATGTTCTATAATATGAAATTCATATGAGGGGTTTTATTCATCAAGAGTGCATGAACTATTTATTCAAACTTGATCATTCTATCATATTCTATCTATCTCATCTACTGCCCAATGGCTCTAGAGCCCAGCAGAGTGCAACTGCAGGGACCCGGGAGAATTCCATCGGCTCTCGTTTTGGATGAAGCCCAAACCCGGGACCGGGACCACGCCAAAAAAAAACAAAACGCGCAGGCTGTAGACACAGTTGCCAGGAGCTTCCGGTTGGTTCAACTGCTCCTTGAGCAGTCCCACTTCAGAGCGTTTGAGCCCATGTCTGCGGCGCATGCCCGCATGCTCGTGACCACGCTGCGTGCACCGTGGTCAGAACTGGACTCTGGACGAATGGCGGAATCGTATCGAAGCCAGGCTACTGGTGCTACAAAGAAAGGATATAACAAGTCACATCTAAAGCGACTATTTCCTTTGAGATCTCAGAATGAGGTCACTTAGTACCTAAAGAGGTGACTCCAAAACTTGATCATACGACTCGTGCGCCTCGTGTAAAATGACGCAGTTCTTCCCAAACTCTACCATTCTGGGTGTGCTTGTTGGGTGGAGAGTTTGCGCAAACCGTGCAACTTCCAAACATCTCCAAGCCAACCGCTTTGGACAAGGCATTGAAAAGGTGTTGGATGCTTGCTCAACTGTCGTACTCAAAAAAACACATCAGGCACCTGTCACCTTGCCGTTTTGAGTGCTGTGCGCCGCGGGTGGGTTCCCCTGGTTTCCCCATGAGCTCCACACTCTCTGGCACAGATCGTAAGGGATGATCTGGTGGGAGCTCCTCTCCCTCCAAGCCCTGCCGTCTCCGGAGCAGTGAACACTTCGTTTGCGACCGTCGTTTGGAGGGCAGGGCGAAGGACGAAGGACGCATGCCTCGTTCGTCAGTTAAGGTTGTCGTGGTTCTGGGTAATTAAACGGTTGTTTGGTCAAGCCTATCCCAAACACTCCATGTATGGCATATTTACCTACATTGGGGTAGTTTTAGGGGTCATCAATGTATGTAAATATGCCATACATGGAGTGTCTGGGTATTGAAATCCTATTGAATTAGTGGTGGTTGGAATCCTACACCCAGGACCTTCCAAGTGCCGGTCACCACTACCAGGACCTTCCAAGTGCCGGTCACCACCTTGAAAAAGTCTACCAAAGCCTCCATTTCGGAGACCAGAGTCAGGTGCTGGTAGGGATACGTTGTCTTTATTGGTCGTTTGTCCTGTTTGCCTCGCAAACCGGTGGTATATGAAACATTCTCTTGACTGGGACCTCGAAGACCCTGTCCTTTAGCCGCGGGCAATGGGTGCACCATCGGCGTTTTT